ATATATACACATACACACACACACACACAGAGAGAGAATATATATATACATACATACAGAGAGAGAAAGATTGGGCATAGCCATTTGTTCAGAATCAGATACGATCTCTGCTCCAAGGGGGTTGGACTAGAAGACCTCCAAGGTCCCTTCCAACTCTGTTATTCTGAGCACGAACTGAAGCTTGCAAGGGAGATGGGTTGGAGTCACACCCGGGGAAAGTGCTCCAAAGCGCCCGCGCCTGTCTTAGCGCTGAGCCACAGAGGGGAGATGCGCCAGGCCAGCGGCGCAAATCCTCCCCGCCCGGTCAGAGATCGCCTGGCACGAGTCCCAGGGCCCGGAGTGGAGGTGGAGGGGGGGGGCGAAGGGGCGGTAAGGGAAGCCTGGCCGCCTCCCCACCCCACTGAGCTGGGCAGGGAGAGGGAAGAGGAGGAGTCTCCGGGGAAGGTGCTGCCGGGCAGCCGGCTGAGCAAGCCAAGAGGAAGCGGCCGGGCGGCGCCCCAGGTGGAACGGGCGCTTCCTGGGCCGGGGATCGGGCAGGTGGCGCAGGTAGGCAAAAGGGGGGCAGGCAGGCAGCAGAAGGGAGCAGAAGTTGGCGTTGCGAGGCGCTCCGGCCCGGGGAAAGCCGAGGAGGAGCTCGCGCAAACTTCCCGGCTACCTTTCCCGGCGCCAATCTCGGGGTTCCCCCTGGGAAGAAGAGGAATCGGGGGGGCGCAGCGTTCGTACCCCTCGCCGGCCGGCTTCGGGATGCTGGGCAGGTGAGTTCCAGGCTTGGCTTGGGACGGGGAAGAGCCTGAGGGGCGAACTCGGGACGTCCGGGGTGGGTGGAGGGAGCGAAGCCGGACAACGGGGGGAAGTTGGCGTCGGGTTGGGTCAGACGAACAAGAACCTTGAATCGAATTTTTACCGGTCTGGGAAGCAACCGCGTAGGAAATGTAAATTCGCCCACTTAGGGAAGACTCACACCACCCTTGTCTGCTTTTCAGAACCAGGAAGGGAAAGAGAACTCCAGCGCCGAGGTAAGCTAATCTGTGTTCCGATTTCCCGAGGTTTGAAAGTTTTAAAGGACTTTGTTATTTTTAGTTTATCTGATTTATTACCGGAATGTGGGCGTTGACCACGAAGAGAAACGAGTCTTGGTAACAGGGAGGACAGAATGAGGCCATAAGTACTGCATGCTCTTTTAAGGAAGAGAGAAAACTGAGATAGGTAGGTAGATAGATAGATAGATAGATAGATAGATAGATAGATAGATAGATAGATAGATAGATAGATAGATAGATAGATAGATAGATAGATAGATAGATAGATATTGACAGACAGGCAGATAGTTAGATGATGCATAGACAGACAGACAGACAAACAGACAGGAGGATAGATTTATTAAAAATTTTATCTTGCTATCAAGAGGGCAAACAAGGCGCAATACTTTAAAAAAAAATTCCTTGCATAGTTTTTTTTTTCAAAGCATTATTCTTCACAATCTGCAAAGCCTAGGACTTGAATTTGGACAGGTAGAAGACTCAGGTAGAGGTTGCCCAACAAGCTGAGCTCAATTCAGTTTATAGATTAGGTTCACACCTGATTCAGACCTACGGTTGTTTTGTAGCACAGTCCGGTCCGTGGACCAAGTCGCAAAGGGTTGCAGCTTTCAAATCTCAGATGGCAAAATAAACAGCGGCCAGGCTTTGCATTCCATTTTTAACTCAATTCTTTTTGTTAGGTGGGTTGCCCTGAGTCACTTATTTGAGAGAGGCTGGCTATATCAAAGAAAAACTACCATGATGTAGACATACATGAGAATGTGGCGTTAAGGACCCTAGCCCTGTTTTTACAATTAAAAAATGCCCTATGGAATGAACCTAGCAGCAGATCAGATGGAAAGATAAAATAATCCCACTGTCTGCCTTCACACAATAGACTTGAGTAAAGTAAATTCCTCTGCATTTGATAAGGTATGTCCCAAACAAGTACTGAGGATTATTATGGCATTAAACTGAATCCCAATATTCTAAACAGACTTCTGATTCTGTGCCTGCTGGACACAAGAGCAAATATTTATATTAAGTGATGTCTGTCCACCTCTGCATTCCTGTAGATTTAATTCTGAAACGGTCAAATGAAAAAAAAACAAAAAACACTACAACATTGATTTGAAGTTCCACAGAAAGGCTTTGGAAAATTAAATCAAACAGAAAATTACATGCACCTTCGGTTGCCCCTACCTGAGCGTAAGCCCAATGGGAACTGTTAGCAGTTACTTCTGTGTAAAGGTGGTGTTGGAGATCATGCTGCAAATTCTCCTTATCTGCATGGCTCTCTGTGTTAAGTTTAGTTTGAAATCCAGCAAAGGAGTCCTAAATGTTTGTGTAGTTGTGTAATTAAAGAGGAAGGGGCCTGAAATCTGGAGCTTAGCAGGCATCAGTTTGATTTTAGAAGTCAAGCCAGATTGAACTGAGTTAGCACTCGAATGGGAGGCCTCTAGACTATTTTAGGATTTTGCTTGTTTGTATCCCGTCCTTATTATTTTTAGAAATAACTCAAGGCAGCAAACTTATCAAACACTGCCTCCTCCTATTTTCTCCACAACAACAACCCTGTGGGATGAGGTGGGCTGATAGAGACTGGCCCAAAGTCACCCAGCTGGATTTCATGTCTAAGGCAGGACTAGAACTCACCGTCTCCTGGTGATTGTCCGAAGAC